GACGGGGGGCGCCTGGTGCAGAGCGAGCCTTGTTTCTTGTGAAATGCGTCGTCGTCATTAAACCAGTTGCGGGTTCATGCACTGCTAGGGCTGGCTGTCCATCTGTCTGGTCCCCAGCTGGGGTGTCTAGATGTCGCACACGGGGGCAGGCGGCTCGTCCTGGCTGAGCTGGTTATGGAGAAGACTCACGGGCAGTCTACAAGAGGTGCCGGTGACCCCGAGTTCAGGGTCCCCTGGGGCCGAGGACGGGGGTGTGGCCAGCGCTTGTGGCCCAGCTAGGGTGTGGCTGCTGTGGGGAGGAGGCACCCCCCTGGCTGCCATCTGGAAGGGAGAGAGTGGGGCGGGAGTGGCGGGATAAAGGGAAGGCCGCGGGCGGAGGAGCAGATGAGGACTGGGGGGGGTGTTAGGGGTGAGGGGGCCGCACAGCAGCTGTCAGGTGGGGCACACGCTGCTGCCCCCTCCACCTGACAGATAGGGAAACTGAGGCCAGTGGGTGACCTCGCTGGCCCAGCATCTCAGGGGAGGCTGGGGGGGGTGGGGGGCAGGCAAGAGTTGTTTCTGTTGATCTTTGAATGTGGCTTTTGCGGGAAAGGGAAAGCGATTTAGTAGTAGTGGGGGGGCGTGAGGCAGGGGCCTGTGGGGGGCAGGGAGGCCGCAGGGGAGGACGTGGGGGGGCGGCAGGAGTGGGGGCTGAGGATGCCTGTGAGAACCATAGAAGAGGGGGATTTGGAGGTGATCAAGGGGAGCAGAGGGTCTTGGGGCTGGAGAGGAAAGCCAGCCCAGGCCAGAGGAGTGGTGACTCCAGCAGGACCCAGCAGGTCAGGGGGCCCCAGGGGTTCCGGAGAAGAAGGGTGAGCCCCCCCCTACAGTGAGCAGCTGCCCACGGCTGGCCAGCACCCAGGCCCTTCCCTGCAGGTGAGGAGCCCTGTCCTGGGCAGTGGGGACCAGAGAGACCAGACCGCAGCGCCTGCCCTCGTGGGCCCCAGCTGTGGTGGACAGTGAGAAGCATGTGGCTGCGACGGGGCAGGAGGCCCTGGGGTGGGGCACCTGTGAACCCAGGGACTGAGCCGTGTGATCAGGGGCCCAGAGAGCAGGGAGTGGGGGTGGTGCTGTGGACAGAGGGCACAGTCCCTGCGGAGGCTCTGGAGCCGCACAGGGGAGGGGACAGGGCAGGGGCGGCAGGGCCTTGGGGACCACAGGGACGACTTGGGCTTCTACCCCTAGGCAGCGGGAGCCCTGGGTGTGCACCAAGAGGGAAGTGGGGAGACTGCGTGAGACCCAGCAGCAGGGCCGGGCACGGAGCCAGGAGGCGCGGCCCAGGCAGCCAGGAGCAGGTGCAAGTGAGGGGCAGGCAGATCTCCAGTTCTTGCTACCGTTTCCGTTACTGTGGTAAAATATGCATTACCATTTACCATCTTAAGGCATGTAATTCAGTGATTTTTGGTACATTCATGAGGTTGTGCTGCCGTCTCTAGCTCCAGAACATTCCATAACCCCATCCCCATCAGCTGTCACTCCCCCCAACCCCACCCCCGAGCCCCCTTCCCATCCCTGGATGTGCCTGTTCTGGATGTTTCACATAAATGGACTCACACCCCGTGTGGCCTTCCGCGTCTGGTTCCCTCCCTGAGCGTCGTGGGCTCGGGGTCCGTCCCCGGGGCCGTGCGTGGGGACCGTGGTCTGTGTGTCCGCAGTGCGGTTGCGGACTGTGGACCGAGCTGCTGTGCGCGCATGCCTGCAGGTCTTGCTCTGAGTGTAGCTCAGAAGCAGAAGAGGGGCAGGGTTGGGGGTGAGGAGGGAGGGCTGGGAATGGGGGGGTCCCAGCTGGAGCTCCTGGAAGGGTGCGCTGGACGGCACGGCCCAGGGAGCCCGTGGGGCTGTTCTGAGGGGCCCAGAGAGGAGGAGGTGGGAGCCCGGGTTGGGCACAGGGAGCCCGGGGCTCACGGCCAGCGCCTCCCCCGTGCCTCCCCCCGCCTGGCCCTGCCATCCTGCCATCCTCCGCTGGGGGAGGGAGGGAGCTGTCTGGATGGGGGCCCGCGCTGGCCAGTACCGTTGCCAGGACACCAAGGGTGGCCTTTGTCGCTGTCAACAATGGCCCCACAGGCCTTCCAGGCATGAGCCCCTGGGGACCCAGAGGCAGACATGCAGACCCTGCGGCGGGAGGCTGCCAGGCCCTACGTCCCCCGGGGGACCCTCGAAGCAGATTTCCCAGCACCTCTGTACAGGTGAGTGCCCGCCACGGCCCCACACGCCACCTCTGTGTTTCGGGCCTGATGGCATTTGGTTTGGCTTCTCTTGCGTGTCATTTGCTCTTCAGTCAAGGCACATTGGTGCTGTACCCTCGCCCCATCCTAACCTGGCTGCACCCCGTATCTCCTGGCCCACCTGCACCTGGTACTCCCCCCCCCACCTGGGGCCAGAGCAGGGCGTGCGTGGGCACCGCAGGTGAGGGGTCCGCTGTGGGCATGGGCACGGCCCGCAGAACTGCCCAGGTCTCTCCAGGAGTCTTCTGCAGGGACACGGGGTGCCCAGGAGGCAGCTGCAGCCCAGTGCAGGTGGGCGTACAAAGGCCCTGGGGCCCGAGGGAGCAGCTCTCCCGGGCCTCCCCGTTCTAGTGCCTTTCTGGCAGTGCTCGGTGCCCTCTGAGGACACGTCACCCCGATCTGTGCCCCTGTGTCACATAGCCTTCTCTGTGTCCAGGCTCCCCCTTCCAAGGACACCAGGCACTGCACGAGGGCCAGCCCAGCCCCAGAGGCCCGCAGCTTAGCAACTGTGTCTGCTGAGACTGTTTCCCAGTGGGGTTGTTCTGAGATACCAGGTGGGCATGGATTTGGGGGGCCCTTTCACTGCAGTGGCCTGGAGAAATGCACCGTAACGGGGGACTGTGCAGATGTAGGAAGGCAGGTGCCCGTGGGCCGCCCCACTGCACGTCTGCTGCAGAAGGGGGACGCGCAGCACGCGCTGGAAACCCGGGTGCAGGGGCCGGCGGCCGTGGCTGTTTCAAGGGGCAGGAACTCTCTGGATTGTGGACCAAGCAAGCATTCATTTGGGGGTTTTTTCCAGTTCTAAGGTGCTGCTCTTCATTTGTTAAACTGACGTTTGACCGAGACAGACCTACTTCTCATTGTTACGTTAGACCATAGTCATTGTGTTTTACAAGTTCCGTGCACGTTACGGTTCAGAAGTGTTCGTTTCACGAGGGCGGGGTACCCAAGATGGTGAAGTTCCCCTTTGAGCGCGTGGCAAACTCAGTGTGTGTCGGGTTCCCGAGACTGATGTCCCAGAACCTTCCAGGCTCACCCACCCTCAAGGAGACCTGTGGGTTTCCAGTTTTCTGTGATCTCTGGGCCGTGCAAGGCGCAGGTGAAAGAGCCTGTGGTCAAAGGCGCCCCCGACCACCGGGGCGAAGCGCCTGCTCGTCCTTCTCTTCTCGGGCAGCGTTGCTCCTACCGGGCCTTCAGGAAGGAACGGCCACTTGAGGTTTCTGCCCAAGCAAGTTTCCCTGCAGCTTTAGCAGCTTTGGGGGTTTCTTCCACTTTTGGGGTTTTTTTTCTGCTTTCATTTTTAATGGTACCACACAGAGATTCAATTTTTAAGATTTTATTTTTGAGTCCTTTGCACACCCACCATGGGGCTCAAACTCACGACTCCGAGATTGAGTCGCACGCTCCCCCGACTGCACCACCGGGCGCCCCTCGACCTTGATCGTTGTTAGCGTACTTCCATCTCTGCACTGCAGCCCCGCTCCTTATGCCGTTCCCTGTGCCACAGGGCCTTTGTACCCCCACCTGCACTGGGCTGCAGCTGCCTCCTTAGTGGCACCCCGTGTCCCTGGGGGACGGGCCAGAAGTGCTGACATAGTGGAAGGTTTAATGAGGGTCCTGGGGGGTTAGAGGGGCGGGGACTACAGGGCTTAGCACCCCCTCTCCTCTGCCAGGCTGGGCCGGGGGTGTGCACGCCGGCAATGCAGGGCAGAGGGTGAAAAGGCCCATTTGAGGGCAGGGGCGGGCCCCAGACTCAGCCTCTGTCTCCTGCCCTCACCCCCTCAGCGACAACTACCTGTCCGTGGAGGGGCCCCGCTGGACACCGGCCACCAGGCAGGCAGTGCGCTGGAAGTACGCCCCCATGGGGCACGACGCCGCCGGTCAGCTGGGCTACACCGGCCTGACCAACTCCGAGTCCCGGGAAGCCTGGCACACGGTCCCGCGGGCTCCGGACAGCCCATACCGCGAGGCCTACACGCGATGGCATGGACATCACAGCCACCGGGAGCAAAGCATGTCCTCCGGTGAGTGCTCAGCCTGGCCTGCCCCCCCCCCGCCCAGCCCCAAGGGGACGGCCAGGGCCACAGATGACCTCCCACCCGCCCCCCAACAGCCTACACGCAGCGCCTCCGGGAGACTGCCTGGTACGACCCTGTCCTCCCTGCCCAGTGCAGGGCCCCCAGCACGCGGTGGGGGAGCACGCTGTGGCCGGACAGACCCAGCCGGGGCAAGGAATACGGTGAGAAGGGGGGGCGATCAGGGAGAGCCAGGCCATCTCGGCTGGGGCTCAGAGTGCCCGGTGACAGGAGGTGACCTGGGTCCTGGCCCCACAGTGGTCAACAGGCACTGGTACTGGGCGGAGCCGCCGTGGCAGGGGTCTGACGACGTGCCGTTCCTGTCGGCGCCCCGGCGCCCGCGCCACCCCATGCAGAACTACAGGCAATGGGACCTGGAACCTTACTGTCCCTCCACCATCCAGCGGCCCCCATCCGTCTACACGCCCACCCACTGATAAAGTTCATGCTGCCCGACACCGCCCGCTGCAGGGACCCCACTCCCGTGGATCTGTCCACCTCTGGGGACCCCGGGGACCTTGCGTGATCCGGCAGCCAGATCAAGGGAGCCCCCAACCAAGACCCCAGTGACCGAAACTGGGCCAGAGGCAGGCAGACGCAGGGCATACCAGCTGCCCTCTCCCCACTCTGGGCTCTGGGCACACAGCTGAGGCCACAGTCCTCACCCACGGGTGGCTCTTTATTCGTGGCCAGCAGTGGCCTGGGCACAGAGCATGGGCCTTGCTCCTCCCTACCCCCTGCCTGAGGCTCCCGTCAGGCTCAGAGACCACGTCGTGGTCGGGGGACCTGGCGGCATGTAGCAAACTGCACCCGAGCCTGGGGTGAGGGGTGAGCCGGGCGCACCCCTGGACCCCAGAGCGCTGAGCTCCGTGTCTGGGATCCTGACCGTCCTGCCCCCACAGCCAGGCAAGGATGGGGGGGTAGGGATGGGAGGTGGGGGCGGCACGGAGGGAGGGCTGCTCCTGGCCTCAGCTGGTCCTGGAGTATACAGAGTTCATGTGCACAGGACAGCAACCGTGGCGCCTGTGGAATCAGGGCTGGGCTCCAGGGTCCCCTGCAGGAGAAAGGGGTGGGGTGGAATCAGTGGAGGGGGGGGGCCTGCCCGGGGCCCAGCCCTCCAGCCCCTGGCCCACGGGGTGGGGCGTGGCTGGGACTCACAGCTCCGCAGGCGGATGGGCCAGATGAGGAGACTGCAGAGACAGAGGGTGGCGGCCACGCCCACCCCGCCGGTGGCGGCCACCATCACCCAGCGGTAGAAGCCCATGCAGGCCCTGCAGCAAATCTCCAAGCTAGGGGGAGGGCAGAAGCAGGTGAGTTGCCATCTGTCAGGTCCCTCCAGCCTGGACCTCCTGCTCAGCTGTTGGGTAGCCAGAACCAGGGGGTCACCCTCCACCACCCACACCCTCCTCCCACATCTGCCCCATCCCCTCCCTGCCCGTCACTTACTCTGCTCCAACCCCACGGGCCTCCCCCTGTTCCTCCAACACACCAAGCCCAGTCCTACCACAGGACCTTCGCACTGGGGGTTCCTCCCCATTTGCCTGGAACTCCCTAACAGGTCTCCGGTCCAATGTCACCTCCTCAAGGAAGCCCTCCCTGACCTCTTGCCCCAGACAGGTCTTCATAACTGGTGTTTTCTCCACCTCCTTGCCACTGGTTTGGATCACACAGTTCTGTGCTTATTAAAGGGGCTGGTATTGCCCCCAGGTCAGTGAGGACAGAGGAACAGGCTTTTGTTCCCAGATCCCAGGCTTCTACAAGTCTCCACCCGGTGGTCTAGAACCATCTGGGTCCAGAACCCTAGGTTCTGAGGGTCTGAACGCAGATTCCGGCTTTGCCCCGGCCCTGCCCACTCCTACTTCCCCAGTACGTCCGGACGCTGTGTCCCCAGCACACAACAGCCCGCCAAGTGCCCCAGGCCAGGAGCAAGCGGGTCTCCCCAGTGTGCGGGCACCACCCGCGCGCTGGCCTTTGTCCAGGCTGAACCCCCAGACCCGGGGCAGTGCCTGGCACTCAGCACGCACAGCGCGTTCTTACTAAACGAATAAATGAACAGCACTCACGAGCAGGGATACAGGCTCTGGATGGCCATGACTGCCAGCCCGTTGGCCACTTTATCCGAGAAGCTCATGGCCCCGTACACGAAGGCTCCGCTGTGCTGGGTACACGAGCAGGGAGGTCAGCAGCCGCAGCGCGGCCGCGGCCCCCAGCACGCCCCGCCCATCAGCCTTACCGTGTGGGGGCCGATGAGGTCGGCCGTCATGGCCAGCGAGGTGACGAGGATGGTGGCGCAGCCCGTGCCCAGCAGCACAGCTGCCGCGTACACGGCCATGCCCAGCCCGTCTGCCAGGGCCACCCAGGCTGCGAAGGCCAGGATCACCAGGAGGCCCGCGAAGTAGGTCAGCTGCGGGGGAGCCGGCCGGCATGAGGGCCGCCTCACCGCGTGGCGCCTGCCCTCCCCGGTCTTCAGCCGGCCGGACCCCCTGCCCGCCGCAGCAGGGAGGGGGTCCAGCTGGACCCTCCCTGCGGCACCCCGAGCTCGGACTCGGAGGGTTCTGGGGCCAGGGGTGCCAAGCGCGCCGAGCCAGCCCCGGGGAGCTGCGTGGAGACGGAGCTGGCTGCAGCCAGACGCAGATCCATTAAAATCAAACACGGTGACGTGTCGAGTTCCTTAGTTGCACCGGCCAGAGTTGCAGAGTTCCAGGGCTCCGGGCCACCGCCGGCCACGGCCCCGGGCAGCACGGAGTCCTAGAGCGCTGTAGCCCTGAGCCACGCGGAAGCCAGACCCGGGGCTGCCACGGGCTGGACGCCACGGTCCGGAGCCACCAGTTCTCGGGGTCCTCAGCTGTGGGGGCCCCCTCCCCCCCGCCCGTCCTGCCCACTTACGTTCCTCCCGATGCACTTGTTGACTGGCTTCATGAGGAAGGAGGAGCAGAAACCGCTGAGGTACATCACCAGCGGGATGGTGGCGATGAACTTCTGTTGGGGCAGAGCGGGTGTGGGCACGGGGGGCCCCGGGGCCGTGCCACCCCCTGCGCCATCCGGCCCCCCCCAGCTCACCTTGGGCAGGTTGAGGGAGTAGGTGAGATACATGGCTATGTACGTCTGGGACAGGTTCACGATGAGCCTCGTGCTCATGTACAGCAAGCCCACCTGCGGGCAGGCAAACCGAAGGCTCGGGTTGGGAGGCTGGGGGGGGCCTACATGAGCCGCTCGTGGTGACCGGCCGCCAGGCTGGTGGGGCGGGGAGCAGTGACGGAGGGAGGGCGGCAAAGGGACTGTGTGCCCCCCACCCCATGTCCGCCATCCCTGCCCGCAGCCCCGCGCCCCCCCGGCAGCGCACCTGATAGAAGGCCGGCTCCCGGAGCCAGTGCTTCCAGAGCAGCAGGGGCCGGGCGGTGGCGGGCGCCAGCAGCGGGCTGTGCTCGTCCGGCTCCTCCGCCCGAGGCCGGCGCCCTTCCCTGGTGCCCAGATGGAACAGCAGCGAAGAGACGGCTCCGACTCCCACCACCAGCAGGGAGAGGTTCTGGAGGCCAGGCAGGAGGGGGGTCAGCGGCCGCGCTCTCAGCCCGGGCCCTGGGTTCGGGGCCACCGGGGTGTCCCAGCCGGGCCCCGCTCACCTGGAACACCGGCACGTCTTGGACGCCCAGCTGGTCAGTGACCCTGCGGGCCCCCCCCAAGCTCGGGGAGCCCTGCAGGTGGAGCAGCACCCAGGCGGCACTGTACACGGTGATGCTGGCCACCACGGTGAAGGCGTACCTGGCGGGGGCAGGGCGGGCTTCAGCGCAGGGCCCGGGAGAGCACACGGCCGCCGGCCACGCTGCCAAAGCCACTTCCGGCCTCCAGGGAATCTCTGGCTGGGGGGGCGTTCGGCCACCGAACACGGGGTGGCCGCAGCAGAGCCCTTGCTGCCCGTTATGTGGTGACTGACGGCCGACCCGCGACTCCACCCTGACATCCCAGCTGCCTGGGCCGGGGGTACAGAGACTCCGGGAAGACCTGAGACGCTCAGAAGCCAGGATTTGGGATTCTTGGTTCCCAGATCCTGGGCCTTGGTCTAGAAGCATCTGGGGCCCCTCCTGCTTGTAGCCCCGGAGCGGTGCCCCTCCAGGGGCTGGGGGTGTGGGGGCAGAGCCTCTGGACCGCACACGAGGACTCAGTTTCCCTTTGTGAGAGTGGGACCAATACCCCAGAGATCAAAGTGGAGAGGCCACAAGACTGGCAGGAAAGTGCCTGCCGGTAGAAGGCGGCCCAGAGCCTGGTCTCTCAAGCCACCCGCCAGCTGGGGCCCTCGGGGCCCTCAGGGCCCTGGGCACTGGGCAACCCCTGTCATTGGGGCCGCGCCCACGCCCGAATGCAGAACCCCAGGGCAGGGTGGGGAGGAAGCCAGGCTGGGCCGCAGTGAAGATGCTTCCACGACAGCAAGAGGAGTGCACACCTCGCAGGCGCCCTCCCGTGGGCCAGCCCTTCCCTGAGCTCCAGCCACGCCGGCCGCCACCACCCATGCTAGCCCTTCCTCCCGGAGCTCGAGCCTCTACCCTCTTCCTAGCACACACTGTCCCTCGGGGACGCACGCTGCTCAGACCCTCTCAAGGACACGTGACAAATCTCGGGACTGCCAGGGGGATTAAAGACGGTAATCCTCGTGAAGGGCCTAGAAATGTGCCTGCACACAGCAAGCACTCCATAAATGCTCCTGTTACCATCCTATCCAGCAGGTCTGTCAGGACCTCAAGCAAGTCAACAGGCCAAGTGCTAGCCGCATCCTGCAGGCGGGATTCTAAGATGGCCCTGGTCCCACCCCGTCCAACCCCTCCCCTGGGGGAGGGCGCCTATGGACACGGGATGTCACTCCCAGGTTGAGGCAACAGTTTGTGGCGAAGGTAAAGGGATTCTGCAGCTAGAATTAAGGGAGATGATCCTGGGTGAGCCAGACCTAATCAGGAAATCCTTAGAAAAACCTAAGCCTCAGGCTGAGACCCCTGCCCTAACCAGTACCCTGAGGGGAGACCACGGAGCAGAAAGTACAGCTAAGTGGTGGGGCGCCTGGGTGGCTCGGTTGGTCGAGCATCCAACTCTTGGTTTCCGCTCAGGTCATGATCTCAGGGTCGCGAGATCGAGACCCGTGTGAGGCTCCGCGCTGAGCGGAGTCTGAGATTCTCCCTCGCCCTCTGCCCCTCCCCCCACTCTCAAATAAATATTTAAAAAAAGAAGAAAAAAGAAAATACAGCTAAGCAGAGCCAGACCCCTAACCCACAGAAACCGTGAGCTGATACGTGCGTGCTGTCTGAAGCTGCTAGCTCTGGCCGTTAACGCGGCAACGGCTAACTAACACACTTCTACCGTCCCAGAGCCGCGCAGCCAAGCAGCGCCCAAACGCGGGAGGGCCGCCGCTTCCCGGCCTGGCCCGCTGTGCTCGCACGGAGGCCGCACCTGAGGGCCGTGAGCTCCACCTTCTCGTGGTCATTGGTGGCGAGCTCTGGGATGAGGCTGAGGTGGGCAATCTGCGTAGCCGCCCAGCCGAACTGGAAGATCACGATGAAGGGCGCGTAGTAGAGGAGGGCGGCCCACTCGGGCGTGGCTGCCCCGCAGCCCAGACACGGGCTGAAGATGAAGGGGAAGGACAGCAGGACACAGATGGTACCTGGGGATGAGCAGAGAGCGGGTAGGTCACACCACGGGGCCTTCCCACACCAGCCCCGGGCTCCCAGGGCCTGACCAGGTGGGGACCCTTCCACAGTCACAGACTGGGGGGGGGGCGGTCCGCAGCCCACGGCTTCCCTGGGGAATAGTTCCTGTGACAAATGGCGAAACCGAGGCAGGGAGCCCTGCCAGGGCCAGGGCTCCACCTGTCAGTTCAGGTTATGTGCCCCCAGGTCTGGCGAAACTGAAACACACAACGGGCTGTTGTGTTCCCAAGGTCACGTGCTGCAAGTACAAGAGCAGGGCCAGGACCTACGGCCAGGTGATAGGACAAGAATGGGGCTTCCCCCCTGCTAGCCTCGGGCTCCCCAGGGGTGCTCCCTTGGTTACAGGTGGGGAAACAGAAGCACAGAGCACCTGCGGCGTCCCCTGGAGCTCTGCCCACCACCGACACGCTTGCTTTCCCGCCTCCTGGCAGGGCTTCCCCCCCAGCTCCTGCCAAGCGTCCCACCGCGCACCCAGCAGTCAGGAGGCCAGGTGATGCTGGGTGAGGCTACGGTGGACCCTGCCCTCCCTGAGCCCCAGTGTCCCTATCAGCTCATGAGGGGGTCTTTTCTTTACCTGATACCTCAGAAGAAGCCCAAGTGCGCGGGGGCAGCCAACAGGCCCTGCAGGACCTGCCCCCCCACCCCCCACCCACACAAGGAGGCCTCCTAGCCTCAGCACACCAGGCTCGGTCCTGCCCCAGGGCCTTTGCACCAGCTGTGCCCGCTGTTCCCCTCACATCCTTTCGTGCCTCAGGACTCAACTCAAATGCCACCTCCTCAACAAAGCTCTCCCTGACCACCGCAGTCCCCAGCAGTCCCCTCCCTGCGCTGACACAGTCCATCTGGACACGGCTTTCCTCTCACATGCCTTAGCCCACACAGGGATTCTTTTGTCTCTGCTTGTTTCCTGCCTGCCTCCCCCAGCGGAGACTGGGCTCTGGGAGGGTGGGCAATAGGTCTCTCAAGGTCACTTCTGGGGCCCTGGCCACCAGCACGGAGCCTGGCACATATCTTTCGGGTGAGTGTATGATTATACTAATGTCATCCACTTACAGCCCCAAGAAGCGGGTGTTCCTATTCTCCCCGCTTTCCAGATGAGGACACAGGTTCAGTGTGTGAGCCCCTGGGCCCTGAGCCATGTTCCTTCCCTCTGCCAGGACAGGCCCAGCTCAGCACCCTCCCCTGCTGGGCCTGGCAGCTGGCCTTCCCCTCTCCCTCCAGGCTCAGGACCTCATGCCGTAGACCCTGGGGCCAACTCCGCATCCTGGGATGGGGAAATGAAAGCAAAGGCGCGCTTCCTTGCTATTTCTCTGGAACTGGGGCCTGGGAGGGGCATCCTGAGCTCATGCCTGGGGGCCCCAGGGGCCGCCTCAGGGCCAGGCACAAACTATGTAGACTCTGGTCAGAAGAATGTGCTGCTCTTGCCAGAATCCACCCTGAAGCTGGCCAGGCCAGGTTAACCATTGCCTGGATGAGGCTGCCTGGCCGGGGGACTTGAGGCAAGTGACTTTCCCTCCCTGGGCCGCAGTTTCCAGAAAGTACAGACATTGAAAATACCCAGCTCCCAAAGTCAGCATGAGAACCAGGAGTTAACCTATGAAAGTGGGAGCTCCTATGGCTCTCAGCCACTTCCTGCCTCAGCAGCTTCCAAGCGGGGCTATGTCACCCTTGCACAGTTGATTCAATGGGTTGGAATGCCCCCCCCCTACACACACTCCTATTCATCCTTCAAATCCCCAAAGCTTCAGAGCTCCACTTCTCCCTTATGAAACCCAGTTCACCCACATGCCCCAGCCTGGACCCCATGGAAAAAATCCATGTGTGGCTCTAAGGGTCCTCTCTGGGCTAGAGCGGGGGAGCCCAGGGGGCCTGCTAAGGGGAAAAGTGAACCCACCACCCACAGGCTCAGGGGCAAAAAAAAGAGAAATGGGCACTGTTTCCAAGGTGATTCACTCAAGCCACCTTATCAGGCCAAGAGGAGCTGCCCCAGTTTCCTCTCTCCACAGATCCTCCTGGGTCTCCCCACATACTCACCCTGAGGTGGAGAAGGGGTGCAGGTGGAGGCCTTGAGGTCCCGTAGGGACACCTATCCCCCAGGCCTGTTTTACATAAACACAAAGCCTTCAGTTCTTTATTTACAAAGGTGCCTAACCCCTGCCTCTGCCGGGGGACTCAGATTCTTCCTCCGGGGTCAGGTGGACCCTCCCACCTACGAGAGGGGCACAGAGTCAGGCCTGGGGGCACATGCAGTGTCCACTGCCCAGCTACCTTCCCACAGCTGGCTCCGTCTCCTCAGGGGTGTCTCCCCTGCCCGCCCCAGAGAAAAGACTCCCCACCTCTGTCACCTGTCAGGCCTAGGGGCTGTCTTGTGTGTTTGTCCATGAGTTTATCTATTATGAACAAAACTGCATTGAAGACTGGGCTCAGCTCTGCAAGCAATCCCAACGTCAGCCCAAAGACGGGCACCTCTCGCGTCTGTTTTTCAGATGAGGTGATCACCAGTCTGTCGGAGTCTCCTGTCTCCCCCTGCTTCCCTCCCTGGCTGCCATGGTCTCAAGTGACCCAAGAGCAGCCTGGGTGTCCTCAGTGCCCGAGAAACCTGACATCCGGCCACTTGGGCCACTTGGAGATCGGCTGCACCTTGCAAAAACAGCACTCGCCAAGGCCCAGGGCGAATCCTTGCCTCCCTGGCCGCTGCTCCCAAGGGCAAGGAGGCAGTGGTCAGCCCCTCCTAGCTTCTAGAAAGCTGCCACCCAGAATTCACAGGATTGGGCAGGATTCCTGTGCCTGCCTCCTGAAATGCCCAGCGGAACCCAGATGCTAGGATGCAGCAGGCACCTCTGCCAGGGAAAAAACAGCAGAGAAAGTGGCTGGGGCTAATCTCACGGCCCAGGATCCGTGGTGGCAGAGAAGGGATGCCAGGAGGCAGGCCTTATCAAGGGTGTGCACTGGGCAGGACACCCCGGCTCCTGGGGGACCTGCCTCCTCCCCTCACCAACAGAGGTGTTCTGACAACTCCCCCAGGACACAGGTTGACCCTGTTGGGCCCACAGACCCCATCCTCCTCAGCCAGACACACGCAGACCCCTGCCTCTTCAGTCTGGCCCCCAAGTCTTAGCTCCCCAGCGCAGCACCCGTAAACCTCCCAAGCACCAGGTTCCCCATGATGGGGCAGAGGATGGGCAGGAGTGCGCTGGAGAAACGGGACAGACTGACAGTGGGGGCTCCAGGCAGCCTGACCCTCACTCGGACAGAGTTGTCACCCAGACAGACAAATGAAAAAGTCAAGCCGACCAGGCCACCAGGCAGTCAGACCCAATCCAGAGAGGGTTCAGGGTGCCCATGGGGGTCAGACAGAATGACAAAGGGAAGTGCCACTGGAGGGTCACATGAGTGGTCAGGTGGCAGACGGAAGAAGTACAGAGCAGTTAAGCAGACAGATGGAGGAGGTCAAGGATGGGGCAAGAGAAGGGTACTGAGCAGCCAGATAGAGGAGGTTCAGGACGTAGAGCAGGCAGGCAGGCAGGCAGAGAGGGGAGGCTCAGGCTCCAAGGCAGGCAGTGGGCTAGGAGAGGTCAGGCCCCGGGGCAGGCAGGCTAGCAGTGGAGGGACAAACTGCGTTGGGGTAGGCTCAGGCCCCAGGGCAGGCAGGCAGATGGGGGAGGCTCAGGCCCGGAGGCAAGCAGTGGGCTAGGAGACGTCAGGCCCCGGGGCAGGCAGGCTAGCAGTGGAGGGACAAACTGCGTTGGGGTAGGCTCAGGCCCCAGGGCAGGCAGGCAGATGGGGGAGGCTCAGGCCCGGAGGCAAGCAGTGGGCTAGGAGACGTCAGGCCCCGGGGCAGGCAGGCTAGCAGCGGAGGGAGGCTCGGCCCCGGGACAAACAGTGCGTTGGGGGAGGCTCAGGCCCCGAGGCAAGCAGGCAGAAGGGGAAGGCCCCGGGGCAGGCAGTCGGAGGGAGGAGGCTCGGCCGCGACTTACCGACCAGGTGCCAGGCCTTTCGGGGGCCGCAGCGGACGCAGCGGCCGGCGGCGCGGTCGGCCTCGTAGCCCACGAGGGGCGTGCACAGCCCGTCGGCCACCTGGCCGAGCAGCAGCAGCAGGCCGGCGCCGCGCGAGCTGTAGGCGCGCACCGAGTGCAGGTAGAGCAGCAGGTAGGTGAACCACATGGACGCGCACAGGTCGTTGAGGAAGTGGCCCACCGCGTAGCTCAGCCGCGCGGCCACCGACAGTGGCCGCGGCGGCGCCCCCGCTCCGGCC